TAAAGGTATTATTATTAATATTATTAGTCTTTTCCTGGGCCATTCTGTGTGCTTCTAAATGGAGAAAAAGGTAATAGGTTGGGGGAGGGGCTCAAAAACTTCACAGGTGGGGAAGACCTCAAGGGCATCATTGGGCCTCCAGATGGCACATTGGCAACCACTGCCTTATATCTTATCCTCTTAAAATGGAAATGCCAGGTGTTGAACCTATATAGTTTGTCTGTATGCAAAGCGTGTCCCTTACCACTGAGCTATGGCCTCCTCTTCTGCTCTCACATACCCCTATGTTTCATCAACTTGATGTCCTCCAGATGTTTTGTTTATTTATTCAATTTACCGTATTTTTTGCTCTATAAGACTCACCTTTTCCCTCCTAAAAAGTAAGGGGAAATGTGTGTGCGTCTTATGGAGCGAATGCAGGCTGCTCAGCTATCCCAGAAGCCAGAACAGCAAGAGGGATTGCTTGTTTTCACTGCACAGAGATCCCTCTTGTTGTTCTGGCTTCTGAGATTCAGAATATTCTTTTTCTTGTTTTCCTCCTCCAAAAACTAGGTGCATCTTATGGTCTGGTGCATCTTAGAGAGTGAAAAATGTGGTATATACCACTCTTTATCAGAAGATCCCTGGGCATTGTACAACATTAAGAAAACACATTACAGAACATAAGTGAAAGAAACATAATAAAAAAACATAATGGCAGACAGCCTAATAGTAAAATAATACAGTGGTACCCCGCAAGACGAATGCCTCGCAAGACGGAAAACCCGCAAGACGAAAGGGTTTTCTGTTTTGGAGGCGCTTCGCAAGACGAATTTCCCTATGGGCTTGCATCGCAAGACGAAAGCCCATAGGGAAATGCTGGCGGTCGGGAGCAAAGACTTTCGCCCACAGCCGGCCTTCAGAAGAGGACCTCTTCTGAAGGCCGGAGCGGGGCAAAAGTCTTGCCCCCCCCCCCCCCGCCTGCCCCGGGCGATCTTAAAATGCTGGCGGGCGGGAGCGAAGCGTTCGCTGCCGACCCCCAGCATTTTAAAATCTCCAAGGGACAGCAGAGAAGTCTCTGTCCCGGGAAGGTTTTAAAATGCTGGGGGTCGGGAGCGAAGCGCTGCCGACCCCCAGCATTTTGAAATCTCCCCGTGTCCCGGGAAGGTTTTAAAATGCTGGGGGTCGGGAGCGAAGCGCTGCCGACCCCCAGCATTTTAAAATCTCCCCGTGTCCCGGGAAGGTTTTAAAATGCCGACCCCCAGCATTTTAAAATCTTCCCGGGACACGGGGAGATTTTAAAATGCTGGGGGTCGGCAGCGCTTCGCTCCCGACCCCCAGCATTTTAAAACGCTGTTCCGAAGGGGGGGGCGGGGACACCTGCCCCAGCCGCCCCACTTCGGAAAGCTGTTCCGAAGCGGGGAGGGGGGGCGGGAACAACTGCCCCAGCCGCCCCACTTCGGAAAGCTGTTCCGAAGTGGGGAGGGGGGCGGGGACACCTGGCCCAGCCGCCCCACTTCGGAAAGCTGTTCCGAAGTGGGGAGGGGGGCGGGAACAACTGCCCCAGCCGCCCCACTTCGGAAAGCTGTTCCGAAGTGGGGAGGGGGGGCGGGAACAACTGCCCCAGCCGCCCCACTTCGGAAAGCTGTTCCGAAGTGGGGAGGGGGGGCGGGGACACCTGGCCCAGCCGCCCCACTTCGGAAAGCTGTTCCGAAGTGGGGGGGGGGCGGGAACAACTGCCCCAGCCGCCCCACTTCGGAAAGCTGTTCCGAAGTGGGGAGGGGGGGGCGGGAACAACTGCCCCAGCCGCCCCACTTCGGAAAGCTGTTCCGAAGTGGGGAGGGGGGGCGGGAACAACTGCCCCAGCCGCCCCACTTCGGAAAGCTGTTCCGAAGTGGGGAGGGGGGGCGGGAACAACTGCCCCAGCCGCCCCACTTCAGAAAGCTGTTCCGAAGTGGGGAGGGGGGCGGGGACACCTGGCCCAGCCGCCCCACTTCGGAAAGCTGTTCCGAAGTGGGGAGGGGGGCGGGAACAACTGCCCCAGCCGCCCCACTTCGGAAAGCTGTTCCGAAGTGGGGAGGGGGGGCGGGGACACCTGGCCCAGCCGCCCCACTTCGGAAAGCTGTTCCGAAGTGGGGAGGGTGGGCGGGAACAACTGCCCCAGCCGCCCCACTTCGGAAAGCTGTTCCGAAGTGGGGAGGGGGGGCGGGAACAACTGCCCCAGCCGCCCCACTTCGGAAAGCTGTTCCGAAGTGGGGAGGGGGGGCGGGGACACCTGGCCCAGCCGCCCCACTTCGGAAAGCTGTTCCGAAGTGGGGAGGGGGGGCGGGAACAACTGCCCCAGCCGCCCCACTTCGGAAAGCTGTTCCGAAGTGGGGAGGGGGGCGGGAACAACTGCCCCAGCCGCCCCACTTCGGAAAGCTTTTCCGAAGTGGGGAGGGGGGCGGGGACACCTGGCCCAGCCGCCCCACTTCGGAATGCTGTTCCGAAGTGGGGAGGGGGGCGGGAACAACTGCCCCAGCCGCCCCACTTCGGAAAGCTGTTCCGAAGTGGGGGGGGCGGGAACAACTGCCCCAGCCGCCCCACTTCGGAAAGCTGTTCCGAAGTGGGGAGGGGGGGCGGGGACACCTGGCCCAGCCGCCCCACTTCGGAAAGCTGTTCCGAAGTGGGGAGGGGGGGCGGGAACACCTTCTGAAGGCGGGCAGGGGGCGAAAGTCTTTGTCCCCCCTGCCTGCCTTCCCAGGGGCTTTTAAATCACCCCGGACAGCGAAGAAGTCCTCCGCTGTCCGGGGCGATTTTAAAATGCTGCCCGCCAGCATTTTAAGATCGCCCCGGACAGCGGAGAAGTCCTCCGCTGTCCCAGGGTTTTTTTAAATGCTGGGGGTGGGAAGAAAAGCCCTTGTCCCCCCCCCCAGCCTTCAGAAGAGGTCCTGGTCTGAAGGTGGTTTCCCTAGGAACGCATTAATTGATTTTCAATGCATTCCTATGGGAAACCGTGCATCGCAAGACGAAAAAAACCGCAAGACGAAGAGACTTGCGGAACGAATTAATTTCGTCTTGCGAGGCACCACTGTAATCATCATCATCATAATAATAGTCCCCCCACACTTTCACAGGTCGTAGATTATTTAATAGCCATAGGCCTGGGTAAAGAGGTTGTTTTTACCCTGGCATCTAAAAACATGTAGTGATGGTGCCAGACAAGCCTCTCTGGGGAGAGCATTCCACAGTCTGGGGTTTTAGACTACAACTCCCATCATTCCCAACTGGTACAGCTGCCTGGTCCTCCATGGTTCGGAGGAGCCAGAACGAACCTCAAGCTCCCATTCCTCTTTGCACAAGGTGATTTGCTCCCATTCTTCGTAGTTTCAAGAGATGCAGTTTGTCAAGACGCTTGAATCGGGCAAGCTATCCTTTTTCTCTAGGGCAGAATTGGAAACCGTGGCTTGATCTGAGTTTTCCGTTTCGGTTTGGAAGTAAACCATGGCTTGAACAAAATTAGAAAAGGGGGAGGGATTTGGAACATGCCAGTGGACAAAAGAGTGCGTGAACACAAGGTTCCAAAATACGACTTGGATGATTAACTAAACCAGCCTTCCACAATTCTGGTGCTTTCCCCGTGCTTTGGGCTTGCGACTCCCATCAGCCTTCGGCCAGCATGGCCAACGGCCAGGAATGATGGGGACTGTTTTTGGAAAGAACCAGAAGGCACCAGGTTAGAGAAATCTGGTCTAAACCAAGCCTTTGCCTCTAGTTGCTTTTAGGTGTATCAGTACATTGCAGACGCCTATTGAGCATTTGTTCTGATAGGTTTGCGAGGAGGTTAGATGGTGTCGCACCAAAGCAAGCCTCACCTCTGGGTGCACTTATTTTAAAAAGCCCAATTTGGGTGGGGGGGGAGCAGGTTTGTCGCACCAGACCAGGGGTCTGCAACCTTTAGTGAGCCAGTGTGGTGTAGTGGTTAAGAGCGGTAGTCTCGTAATCTGGGGAACCGGGTTCGCATCTCCGCTCCTCCACATGCAGCTGCTGGGTGACCTTGGGCCAGTCACACTTCTTTGAAGTCTCTCAGCCCCACTCACCTCACAGAGTGCTTGTTGTGGGGGAGGAAGGGAAAGGAGAATGTTAGCCGCTTTGAGACTCCTTAAAGGGAGTGAAAGGCAGGATATCAAATCCAAATTCTTCTTCTTCTTCTAAGACAAAAAGAGCCACTTGGACCCGTTTCCGAAGGAAAAAAAACTGGGAGCCGCAAAACTCGTCATTATAAAAATAACTTTTTTGTCACTTTTTTATTATTTCTTTGTTTGACCCCTCAGAATTACTCCTCCTCATAGAAATAAACGTTAAATTAACAAGTTACCTTTGTGTGTGTGTGTGCGTTCTTCACTCCCCTTCAAAACAGTGACCAGCGTACATGCCCCCTTTCAATGCAGTGACCAGCGTACATGCCCCTTACAATGTAGCGGGTGGGCGGGCGGGAAGGTGACGTCGGGACGGTGTGTGACTAACGCACGCACCGCCCCCCTGCAACGTCACAGCCAGTACAGCGCCCGCCACAGTGGGGAGTGTCAGGGCGCACAATGAGCCTCCTCCCCTCGCTATTATCCGCCGCGGAGCCGCGGCAAAGGTGTAAAAGAGCCACATGCGGCTCCGGAGCCGCGGGTTGCAGACCCCTGCACCAGACCTCCCAGTCAACTACAATTGTGTGACCGGAATTTGCCTGTATGGGATTGCATCCCACCCCAAAATAGTAACCGTCTGCAAGCTTTCCTCCTCTGAACTTTAAATTCCCATTTAAAACCTAGGCAGTGCCAAAGACCCGTCTTTTCAGAGGCATGCTTATACATGAGTCACCAAGACGGGGGGGGGGGGGAAATACGCACCTCCGCAGCCCTCTTAATTTCAGAAAGGAGCACTGCTAATGAGAACAGTGGGAACTCTGAACTCCAGCTGAGAACCGAGGACTGTCTCTTTGTGAATTTCCAAGTCGGATTGGTCCTTCATTGCATATGTTTCATTTGCAGGCTGCTGCAGTATGACCCTTCACTGACCCTCTCCGGAAGAAGCACAACTTCTCCCCTTCAGTTACTCATGTGCATTCTGTTCTTTAAGTTTGACCCGCGACCTGTTTCCAAAAATGCATACAGGTAATTTTCAACTCTGGTTATATTAGTCTCTTATCTAAATGTTTTGCTGCCATAGCTGCTGGGATATGTAACACTATTCATGGGATTGCTGGCTTTGCTGTGCTGTTTGTGACCTTCATCTAACCTCCTATTTGTCTCCTAAATGGAAAACCAATGCCGTAAAGAAAACACCCCCTCCATCCACCTCTCCCTCTCCCTTTTTTTTCTGGCGCCTAGGAAAAGGTAGAATTGAATCGGCAGAGCATTGTCGTTTGCACCTGTTTACATATTTCCTTTGTTGCAGGAATTTATGTACAGTGGTACCTCAGGTTACATACGCTTCAGGTTACATACGCTTCAGGTTACACACTCTGCTAACCCAGAAATAGTGCTTCAGGTTAAGAACTTTGCTTCAGGATAAGAACAGAAATCGGGCTCCGGCGGCACAACAGCAGCAGGAGGCCCCATTAGCTAAAGTGGTGCTTCAGGTTAAGGACAGTTTCAGGTTAAGAACGGACCTCTGGAACAAATTAAGTACTTAACCCGAGGTACAACTGTATAGGTTGGGGTATTTGCCCCTCCAGCAGATATCATGCACATGCATCCCACTACCAAAATCAACACAATCGCTTTTGTGACTTTTGTGATTTGTCCCCACAAAACACTTCATCACAGTTTCTTCCTATCTACAGTGGACGCTCAGGTTGCGAACATGATCCGTGCGGGAAGCACGTCCGCAACCCTCAGCGCCACGTCTGCGCACGTGCAGGTCGCGATTCGGCACTTCTGCACATGCACAAGTGCCAAAACCCAGAAGTAACCCATTCCAGTACTTCTGGGTTTGACGCGGTGCGCAACCCGAAATCACACATCCCGAAGTGTCTGTAACCCAAGCTATGACTGTATTCAAAGGGTCTCTGCTGCACAATACCAAATGTAACAATTCACTGATAAATGTATCTGTGTACTGGCTCACTGGGAAAACTTCAGAAATTCATATAGACATGTGAGCTCAGCTACTCAGCAGCCCTTTGCCTGAGTAATAATCCCTGACTTCCTGATACCTGAGTGCCAGACAGGTAGCCATTCCAGAAATAACAAACCCAGATGAAGACAAAAGTGTGTGATTAACTTGGCTGGGAAACAGGGAAATGTAAATATCTCTTTTGTCCACTTGATGGGTGTTTTGGAGGGCAAGGGGAGGAATGGGGCAGGGTCCAGGATGCTCAGATTCCTGCCACCAGACCTCTCCTTTCATGATGTAACCATGATGTATTAGTGGTGTAGTTTGGGGGGGGTGTAACATGGGGATTAGCAGCTAATAAAAGTTTCACCTGCCACAAGGTGAAACAAAAGAGAACCTGTCAGACAGTCTTCAATAAAGACCAAGCCTACTGGCTGCTGTTTTGCTCTGATATTCCTGGCTGGTGTCCTTGTTTTTTGTCCAAGGGAGCCCTCGGATTTCTCTGTTAACACCTAGTTAGGAGGTAGAGATTGAGTCCTCTTCACAAATTTAACTTGCATATGCTCAGTGCCTCGTGGGTCAGCAGGATTGCACCCACCCACCTCTGCCTGATGGCTCCTGAGCTGATTAGCCTTCACATGTAGCAGTTGCAAAGCCCAATGCATTTAGGGCTCCTGTCATAGGATCGTTTGTCACCATCCAATCCTCATTTCCCCCCGCAGCGCCAGGCCTGTTGTACTGTACCCCATAAGTCTTATGCAAGAGGGGGAGCTGGCCTAGAGGGGGTGGGCCTCCCTGCATAAGGAAAGCTGCTGGTTTGGGCCAATGGCTCATCTAGTTGAGCATCCTTTTCTCACAGTGGCCAAACAGATGCCTATGGGAAACCCGCACACAGGACCCAATAAACCCTTCCTGTGTTTTTTCAGCAACTGGTATTCAGAAGCATTATTGCTTCCAAAGATGGAGGCAGAGCATAGCCCCCATGGCTAGTAGCCTTCAATAGATCCCTTCGTTCCATTAATTTGTCTAACCTTCTTTAAAGGACCCCTGACCATTAGGTCCAGTCGTGACCGACTCTGGGGTTGCGGGCTCATCTCGGTCTATAGGCCGAGGGAGCCGGCGTTTGTCCACAGACAGCTTCCGGGTCATGTGGCCAGCATGACTAAGCCGCTTTTGGTGAACCAGAGCAGCACACGGAAACGCCGTTTACCTTCCTGCCAGAGCAGTACCTATTTATCTACTTGCACTTTGACGTGCTTTTGAACTGCTAGGTTGAGAGGAGCAGGGACTGAGCAACGGGAGCTCACCCCGTCCGGGGATTCGAACCACCGACCTTCTGATCAGCAAGCCCTAGGCTCTGTGGTATAACCCACAGCGCCACCCGCGTCCTTACCTTCTTTAAAAGCCCTCTATTTCCATATTCCCTCTTACCCGAATTTTTCCCCTAAACGGAAAAAGTCCCAAACACTGCAACCTTTCCTCATAGGGGAATTGTTCCATCCCCTTGAGCATTGCCCCATTCTTAACCCTTTCCTGACTCTACAACATTCGAGGTGAGGGTGACCAGGACTGCCAACAGTATCCTAGATGCTTTGGCACCATAGATCTGTATAACAGCATTGTGATACTGGCAGTTTCGTTTCCGGTTCCTTTCCTAATGATCCTCCCTAGCATGGACTTTGCCTTTTCCACTGCTTCAACACACTGGGTCGACATCTGCTACAAAGCCAAGGTCTCGTTCCTAGTCCATCACCACCAATTCAGACCCCGTGAGCATATATATGAAATTAAATTAGCCTGTGTTGGCTTCCTTTCCCACAAAGGAGTAGGAGCTAGATGCCCTGCCCCATTGAGCCACAGTCTCCTCCCCATTCCCTCCAGCTCCCAGCAGTAACCACATTATTTCCACCACCCCCTTTTTGCCCACTGCCTTAGTATTTTAATGTTAAGCTGCATTTTTTGTTGTTGTTGTTGTTAAAATAAATAAATAAAAGTACTGAGCAGCATCCTTCATCAATTTGTCATGCACATAGGAAAGAAAAAAAAGATACTGGCATTGTAAACGAAACTTGTAAGATTAATGAAGGATGAAATACTTGGGAACCATACGAGAATAATAAATACTAAATAACAGAGACAGCAAGGAAAATGACAAATGTACAAGCAAATCCTGAATTTGCAGAATAGAAAGAAACTTGGTCAAGGCTACATCAGCATGGTAAATCACAGGGGGAGAACAAACCAAAGGGGCAGAACAATACAGTTTGCAAAATAACATGTAACGTGAACATCTCTTTATTTATTTTTTATTCTACCTGGGTTAATCATCATATTCACTAGATCTAAAACTTGCACACAAAAAAGTGTGTACCACCTGTAAAAATAGACACTGAGCACAGAGTACAATTTTTCTTCCTCTTACTGCTCAGTTGTAAAACAAGCCTATGGGATAAAATGTATTGGCACATCATCTTAGAACAAACTGGTTTGCAAGACCATATACTACGGCCAGGATCTATAGAGGCTGCGTGTGATAGAAATCAGATGCAAGTACTAACCTGCTGTGAGACTGAACCTTTGGAGCCAGAATCTTATTTGGGCATAGGGCCGTATATATGGCTCAGTGGTAGGACATAACCTTTGCATGCCAAAGGTCTCTGGTTCAGTCTCTGGCAAACCAGGTAGGGCTGGAAAAGATCCCTGTTGGAAACTCTGGGGTGCTACTGCCAGTCACCTTAGGTGATGCTAAGCTACATAGACCAGTGGTCTGACTTCCTGTGTTTCTTTGACGATAACCTCCTGTGTTTCTATGATGACCATGCCAGCATCTCATACTAATGCAATATTAGGAAGTCCCCACCCAAAAGGCAAAAATCAGGGCAGTGAGTGACCATGCAGATAGCTGGAGTTTGTAGTAGTGGACAGCTGGCTATGTCTTGTAGCTAGGGTTTAGGCATGAGACTCCTCCAAAACCAGGTTTTTCCAATATACTTCTTCCGTATTGTGTATAAATGTTTTCAATTTAAACACACATCTCTCTCTCTCTCACTCTCACATACATATAAAGATTTATAAATCTAATTTTTGAGATACAAATTGCTACTTTTGTAAATACAGGTTTTAGCTTTCAGAGCCATAATCTCATAATCTTTTTATGGAACTGAATTATATCACAGGAAATTGCTTCAATGGAATGATTTCTCATGCTTCCATCCCTCTCTGCCCCCACATTAAGAAGTTACATAAATCTTAACACAGTTGAGGTTATGTAGCTATTTTTAGGGTCTTGTATAATTTATTTGGAGAAGAGCACTTCTGCTGCTGTTCTCCAATATGGAGACTTTGAAAGAAAGAAGTAAGGTATTCTAATAAAGTATGAATTTAGAACCTTGCATTCACACACCCAGTTTAAGAAGTTTAGTTTCTAGGTTGCATTGTGGCTAGCAGACATTCAGGACTTAAACACAGTCCCAGTGCAGATATAACGGCCCTGTTTTGACTGTGGTCTTTGAGCTTCAGGCTCATGGGTTCCCTTCCCTTGCCTAGTTTAATTTGCTCACTTATGTCCTGTATGGTTTTGAACCATATTGGAAGCCACGGTTTGAAATGGGATTCGAATTCAGGGTTGCCCAAACCAAAGTTTGTCCGATTTGGCCATTGCCACAAACTGTGGTTTGCTCAATCCAGGAAATAAGCGAGTGAACTGGATGAAAGGAGGGAAGGAAGGAGTAGGAACATGCAAGCATAATGCTTATTCATAACAACTAAACTGTGACTTGGCCTTGATGCCTGAACTGTGCCATTACATATAATAAACAAGTGGAATTTCAGGTAATTCCACAGAGGTACAGGGTGCCCGCCCACCAGTATGCAAAGGTAGGTGTGGCCTTGTACAGCAGTATCTCAGAAGTCAAAAGGAATCCATTCCGGAAGTCCATTCGACTTCCAAGACGTTTGGAAACCAAGGCGCAACTTCCGATTGGCTGTAGGAAGGTCCTGCAGCCAATCGGAAGCTGTGGAAGTCACGTCGGACATTCAGGTTTCAAAGAACGTTTGC